ATGAACATCGAACTACAAATTACTTAATGTTAATAGTTAATTCTATCTGATATCCACATTTTTTAAATATGTTAGGCAAATTTTTACAATTATTTTTAATTAAACTTTAAAATGTATTCTGCCGTTATCATATACAATACATTTTCTTAACTTGTCGATAAACGTATAGTTTTCAATTTTTAACATTGAAAATGTTTCTGTTATCCTATATAAGGGAGCCCAAATCGAATTAGAATGCTACATTTGCCACACCATGACGTCATATATACAAGGGTATAGGAAATCTCGGCGCAGCGGCGACAGTCGGCCAGCGCGCGCACAAACCATTACATCGCTAATTGTTTATTGATATATCTTTATTAGTTTAAAAGCAAAAAATATGGGGTTTGCTTTGATACCTTGTCAAGACATAACCGAAACTTTTAAATTGTTTCTTTTTTTCATTTAGGCCTTCGTTTTTCGTTAAATGAGAGTTATATTAAAAAAAATCTATTTTTAAACCAAATTTTCGCATGATTGAAATGATTATTCATGTTTAAAGTTTTTTTTGGTCATAAGCGCTAATGGAAATATTTTTTGTAAATAATTATAAAAATTACTCCCTACGACGACTTTATTGTGTACTGGATCAAAAAATAAGTATTTGTTTTCTCTATACGGTGGTATTAATATATCGATTTTTGATGATAGTGCCCTTTTACCCGGTCTAATTTTGTACTACTTTCGGAATAAGGGTCCCCATATCATGTACTGTACTTCCATCCCTGAAAAATTCAGCTTGTGACACCGAAGTGAGAGGTAACGTCAAAATAAGCTTTAATCTACCTACATCATAGGTAGGTGTAGGTACTCTAGGTATATTCTACCTAGACAGTAGCTGAACTAGCTGACAGTAGTAATTAATTTGTTATCCGATAAGTAGTTGTCATTATATAAGTTTAATCATCTTATACCTCCTATAACGGTAGGTTTTGGATTTTTCCTGATTGGTTTGTTAAACAAAAATATACTGGGCATATAAATGTCTGTTACAGGTTAATTCGTTAAAGAAATATGTTACACACATATTATTTTAATAATAATAGTATAATAGTAATGGCTATATTATGTTATAACACATACATATGTATTGAATGTACTTATTTTAACCAATGCATTGTTTTGTTTTTTTAATCTCACAAATAAGAAATGTTTTATAGTTTTTATTATAAAAAACAGTGATTATACAATTTATTTACACCCCTTACACTGTTTTCTGTAAGGGGTGTAACCAGGAGTATATTTCGTAACCTCTTACGATATAAGAGGGCACAAAGTGTTTTATTACTTAATGCTTAAAATTTAATAATATATTTGTACATAAAATAAAATAGACTAGAAAGTCAATTAATTAATATTGACGTAATTACTAAATAAGTACAAGATTTTTTTTCTAATTATTTTAGTGTATTTTTAGTCACCTAATTATAAAGGAGAGATATCCAACCATTGCATTATTTTACTCACAAATAAATGTTTTATGGTTTTTATTATAAAACAACGATTAATTTATTATACACCCCTTAACCCAAACACTCCAAGGAGGATATTTCGTGACCCCTTATTTAAAGTGGACAAGCTTTATTAGTCAATGTTTTAATTACCCAGCGTCTTTAATAAAAATCTAATGTAATTTTTCATAGAAATGATCTGACATAAAAAGCAAATTTTATCAAAAAACTTTTTGATTATCTACAAGGAGTAAACCGCTGACAAATGTCTGTATACTAATGCCAAAGTAATGCCAAAAATACAAATTAAATACCAAAATTTCTCATATAATGCCCCACTAATGCCAAGCTGATTCCAATATAATACCACTAATACCACGAATAATATGTAACACATTTGTTTCACGAATTAACCTGTAACAATACTGGTAGGTACGTGCACAGATTTTTTCCTAGGTAACTTAAAAGTCGTTAAAAAGTCTAATTATATTTAAAGAAGATATAATTCCAACAAATTACATTATAAGGCCAATAATGCACAAGTAATACCATTAAAATTTTAGCGTTTTTAACTTGTGTAACATATTTCTTTAACGAATTAACCTGTAACAATAGTGGTAGGTACGCGCACAGATTTTTTCGCTAGGTAACTTATTAAGTCGTTAAACAGGCCTATAAAAGCTATAACAACATAGGTAACTAATATTTATAATTTAATTCGAGTTTTAATCTCAAATAATAAATGTTTTTACTGGTGTATTTCTGAAGTGTTCATTATTAAAAGTAGATATTCTTCAAGTTATGCGAAGTAATAAGTAATGTTTCCGGTGAGACCGCGTATATGTCACCGGATTCTGGTTAGTATAAAGACTTTTTCTATAGAAAGAGTTTTTTCTATATTTTCCTTTCAAAATAAGACTAATTTCTTCTTATTCTTTTAAATATTACAGTGTTTCTTTTTCCTAAAATGTTATACTTAATTTTCGCTTAAAATTAAAAAATCACAAATGGAGGAAAATATACGTTATTGAATAAAGTTTATACAAATCACTTTACCATAACAAAAAAGTAAAAACATGTCATGGCGGAAGATATTCAGGTGGCATTTCACACATTTATCTATTAAAATCGAGATTAAAATAATAAACTTGCGTAACATGTTATACACGAGATAGAAAGTTTCAGAATCGATTAATACGCAATACGCTACGCAGTCAACTTATTCCTATGCGCGGATGAGCGTCTTCAAGACTCTTCCTTCGGCCAGGGTCACGACGCCGCCCAAAAGGAATCGGCCTACGTTTGGCTAAACAGGCTGGACACGGTGGAGTACGATATTGGCGAGTCTGAATATTTATAAAAATTTGCAAAGTAAAATATGTTGGAAAAATAAATTAATCCATACATATATATACTTGTATTCATTTAAAACTTCCCAATATGGCGGACTTCAGTATGGGAGGCTTAAAAAACGAAAATCTCTAAACTGGAATCGACTGTACTTCAAATCGTTCAAATTGATAATCTGTGGTAAATCCAATTGAACTCTGACACTTGGCTGACATTGACGTTTACGGTTCCTTTTTCTAAATATTTTCATTATTTTTTGAGTTTTTATTCACAAATTCTACTTGATTTTGTTCTTTTATTTAACCTGCAACCTGCAGTACTAATTATATAGTTATAAATAATCTTTTCCCGATCAAGAATTGACGAATAGGCTGGAAGATATTCAAAATGTGTAAAACGCTTAAAAACGTATTAGAAAATATTGACTCGTTCACAAATTCGTGAAAATAAATTAGTCCAGATGTTTGTAAAAAGGTCTCTAATTATTTTGAGAAGTTTCGTCGTATCAGTAATTTTCAGATTTGTAATATGTACTATATGATATAATAAATAGATTAAAACTTATATTTCAGGAAACAGCGCGGGCATTACAGATTGTTGTAAATCAGTTTTAAAATATAAAGAAGGTTTAAAACAGGTTTAAAAGTTGAGTTAGTAGAGAAGACCTAAATAAGGTAATGTTGGTAATGGGACCAAACATCAAATAACACTTGAAATATATAATTATGTACAATAATTGTAAGTAGTTTTTATGAATCTGTTTGATATCTATTGCATTGTTTTTATATTTCTTGAAATATATATTTTTTACTTTATAGGATACACAAAGAATAATAAAAAACACAGTTACTCACTAAAAGCACTTAAGGTTTCTAATAGATGTTGTTAGAATATCAAACACCAAACCAAACCAAAAATGATGTTTTATTTTACTGGTATTCCTCACATTTGAAGGGAAAGTCATTTCATAAATAAGCAGGACACTCTATATTAATAATTGTTTTTTATCCTATACTTGTTAGTTAACGCATCACTTACTAGGTATAAAATATAGTACTGATTAACCTATAGTTGTGGTTGTGATATATTCTGATGTGTTTCTGGCAAATTAAAATAAGTTAATATTTAAACAAACATTTCTGGCTTTCCTGACAGGAGTGTGGACACAAATTTAATAAAGGTATAATGTTCTGATTATTACAGTTTGCATGAATGTTTTTGTATGTTGTTATTTTTAATAAAGAATATTTAAAAGATGCCCAAATCGTATTTTTAATCATATCTCAATTTTTTCAAATGGAAGAAGGGTGGCTCAATAGCATATTTGGAAAAAGCATTTTTTACGAATAATTTCTTATCACATACTTGGTATTTAGCATGTTACAATTTCAAATAAAACATATGCGAAAATGTCAAAAGTTGACATATGACATGTTATTCTATTTAAAGTGTCATTTTCTATCGAATAAAGTAGAAATATACAGAGGATGATATTTAAAAATCAACAATGATTGTAGTCATTTCCGGTGAAACAGAAAGTGTCCAAAAACAATTGAATACGTCAATCAATACTAATTTATGTCATATACTAGCATACCAAATTACTTTTTTTACATAAAAAAACGAGATTTGGTAAAACATAAAAAACGGCATCAAAGGTGGCTTGTAAATGAAGATTGCTGCAAAATACATGCAAAATTATATGGGGTACCTACGTCATCGCTTATCATATTGATGCCAACTGGGTGCCGTGTTTCTTATCCATCCCATTTAAAATCTACAAAAAAAAAATAAACAATACAGTGTATAATATCAAAAAAATATATCTTAGATTATCCCTATTACCAGCTGAACTGTTATCCTAAAAATTTCATAAAATTCGCTAAAAGCACTTTTGGGAGAAAATTATAATAAACCGAAAAAAAAACTTTAATCCCCAGTAGCTACAAAACAAAGTAGAATCGGACTAATGTTGATATAAAAGATAAATCTTATTTTTACGCGAGAGATTGCACATTTTTTTTGAAACACCTTGTATAATGAACAAGTTGAAAATTGTACAAACGAGTATTATAAAAAGACATTGTTAGCATAAAGGTTAGCATTGTTACAAGTTTTCCGTTTTACTAAGCAACGATTGACGACTAAATGATTAATGACATAACTTTTGTCATTAATTATTATCAGTATTAAACTATAATAGTTATTATTAACTATATTTAATAGTAAAAGTACGCTATAAATATTAATTATAATCATGGAGATTATGGCAACCAAGGGTAAAGTAGATACTTTTAGATTTATTTATTATTATTTTACTTTGAATGTGGTAGACAATGATTCGAAAGAAATAAAGACAATTATGGAAGTCCAAAGCTCTTTTAGTTTAAATATTATTATTTTGTTTTCTATTCCAAATAATTTTTTAAAAGCATTTTTGTCATTATTGTTTTTGTTCAGTACCAAGTTCGGTACATTGCATACACAAGTATTTTCAGTATTTTATTTTAAATAATATAGCTCCATATTCATCAGGCTATATTCATAGGTTCAGATGAATCCAAAGATTACTATTTAGCCATGAATTCCACCATATTTAAAGAACCTGGTTCAGAGGACTGGAAAAAACGACGAGCAATTCCACTACAAACATCAAGTCAGCAGAAACAGTCCGAAAACATTGTAAGTTCGGAATGGTCAAGAGATGAGCACACCAGAATATTTGCTTCGTTGGTACCAGACGAAGTTATTTACCATATCAACGATTACTCCAGAAGACATTTTGATGGATGTCTTTTATTCGGTGACGTATCAGGTGACTATAACTGACTTAACTGCTATCGAAAGAGAAAGCCAAACAGCTCTATCATTAAATTTGATAGGTCATCAATGAAGGCGAATTCGTCTTATTTCGTCGTTTTATGTAACTAAAATGCATTTGAAATATTTAAAAAAAGGTGATTAATACCATACAATTTATTTTGTAATTATGAAGGACATTGGTCACAATCCAGGTTCGTATTTAAATTAAAAAAGTTAAATATTTCTCAATTATTGTCTATTTTTCACTTTGCAATTTTGAATTCTCATCTAAAAAACGACAAGATTATTTTCCAATCTAACATTTTGGATTCCAGAGGCACTTGGATTCCAGAGAAAATTATCATCAAAATAAAACTATAAATAAATGTAGGGTGTCCCAGAAATAAGTGCAGATATTTTAACTGGTAGTAGGTACCTACATTTCGGTCCCCGAAAAACGTCGCTGAGTTTTTTTGGTAGATCTGACTAAAAGAAACATATTTTCTCCTTATCATTTTCAAAATAAATTGAAAATAATCGAGTTATTCAACTTTGAAAATTTTAAAAAATTATAACAACATTTTGAGAACCGCCGCGCCGGCAGATATCGCCAAAACCATCCAATTACCATAGTCAAGAAATACCATAGTCAAGAAATATATGCTTAAAAATAAATCAGAAAATCACACCACTTGAGGAATTTAGCAGAGTTTGCAGAGATGCATTACATTTTTAAGATGGTGTTATTATGACACAAAATAAATTAAAAGAAAAAACTTACTCACAACCCTTAGCCCACAACATTAAAAAAAATACTTATGACAGATTTAGTAATGACAGAAAAGTAACTTCGACAGTTCTCTTTTTCGATGCACACTTAACCAAAATACACTTCACTTTGTTGAAGTGTATTCAACAACCAACCAAACAGAGAAACACGAAAGGAAACAAACAAAACGGTTGAATTCAAAGCAATCATAACACGCTCTTCGAGACAGTTGCCTATTAAGAGGTATGCGTATAACATAATTGTTAATAGTGTTTTATTTTACTCTGTAATCAATAGGTATCTACAAATATTAGATTAATTTATTAACAAATTTAGATAAAAAGAAAGAAATTTAAAATTGCTGTGAATTTATAAATATAGAAATATGCAGAATGTGAATAACGTAGAAGGTGGAAACACTGCAAGGTTTAGATACACCGTAGATAAATCTCAGGTGAATAAACAAGTGGTACTAAAAAGTTTTTTAAAATTTACCGGAAAATGTTAAGAAAAATTTAATTTTATTTCGCAAAAAAAACTCATAGGCGTGTTTCTGGGGTCCAAATATACTACCAGTTAAAATATCTGCACTTATTACTGAGACACCCTGTATAAAATCCTTAGCATTTTTAATAGAGATATCTTATTTTAAAAAAAATATCATGAAGTATAGATATTTTTTCGTTTGCCTTTATATTTTTACATTTTAATCTCTTAATACAAAATCTCCAACTTCTTAAAACATTGCAATGCTTAATTAATTCTAGTTACTTTTAAGCAGATTACTAAACGATATGGGGATTTTAGGATTTACCGATCTATGTGAAAAATACAATAAGACTGGAAAAGGAGGGCCATCCAAACTGACCCAAGTGCTAAATAGCTATATCGGAGCTATGGTGCAAGAAATCCTTTCTCACGATGGAGACGTTTTTAAGTTCTCCGGTGATGCCTTTCTAGCTCTTTGGAAAGTTACAGAAAATTTGTCTATGAAGGATGCCGTCCACGAAGCTATTGACTGTTCTTTAATAATTCAAAAAACTTATGGACGCTATCAGGCTGATCAGGATGTAGTTATTAGAGGTGAGATTAATATTTTTAAATTTATATAGTTTATATCGTCGGCCTTATGCAAGGATACTATAGAGATAAAGATAGTTCTATTCCTATCTTCCTGTACTTTCAGTTTTTTCACGTCATCTAAGGATCGAGTTGAACTAAATATTTTAGACAGTGACAGTTATTTTTGCGTTTGACGGACGAGCGCACAGTGCGGCGGAAGAAAAGTCTAGCGAGACAAAACCGTTTGGGTAGAAATAAGCCAAAAAAGTGTACTAATAAGAATAAATAGGTAGTAGACATTCCAATTGATATAAGGTTTGTTCCAACCCACCACAAAACCGGTTCGTCACCGAACGATCACGCTCGTGCGCAGTAATTCAAATGTGTTCCAACCGAGATTTGACGGTTATCGGACGATCCTATTTGCGTACCAACCTACCTTGGGATCGTTTAGTTACGATTTCAGAACGGTAATTTCGGTACATGGTCCAAATTGAGAACTGTTTGGTTTGACTTGCGCATTAAAGCATATTGGCAGGGATTATCGATTTTTACAGCTGATTCTGGTCCGGCTTCTCTCTTGGTTATTTTTTACGAATTCGAATACGTGTGCGTTATACATTTGCTTGTGAGTTTGTGTGGAGTAAATCGTTCGGAAATATTAATTAATTTTTTATTTATAAAATAATATTCAAAGATTCTTATGTCTGGAGGACAAAAGAAAATCAACGTGCCAGCAAACACCAAATACGAGTTGAGTTGGGCCAATCCAAAACTCTACACTATAGCTTCGAAATAGCAGCCGATTCAGATTAAACAGCAAGATTTAAATAATGACCATTTCTAAAGCTGATGGCGACAGAGCGGCAAAACCAAAAGTGAGGTTAAAGCGCAGAGAGGCGCCTTGAAACGATGTTGACAGCCCTCCACAGAAGCAGTGAAACGATAACGGGGTTGTCGACTAGAGAACGTTAAAACTACGCCAAGCGTATCAAATAAATTATCAGGCCTGAACGATACGGAATCCGGTGACGATACGCCAGACAACATATATCATATATAAAAGACATGTAACGAACTAAAAACGTTACAACGTCATAACATGCCCATTGGGTCATTTTTTCACATATCGAATTTGCGCATCTCAAATACTAGCATTCTTCGTTATAACGAAAAGACATATGTTGAGATAGGGCTCTTTGTTATATCAGTAATTGTTATACTAATTTTTATACTACAAGGAATATGGAATTTGAGATAGGTCTTTTGTTTTAAGTTATGAAAATGCATGCTAGAGAAAATGACACATTCTGCCTATTATTTTCTGATGGTAGCTTGGGACAAACTAAAAGTCAACAAACAGCTCTCTTTTCTAAAGGAAGCAGCTCTCTTTTATAGTGTGGCTAATTCAACACACTTGAAAAAAATAAGTCTCTGATTTTTTGCAACAAACTGTGGTTAGAATGAGTTAGACTTTGCACATAGCTGTATTGCGTTATTGCGTATCCAGAAAATTGTCCGAAAACAAATGACCGAAGGAAAATTGACCGGAAATCACCGAAACGAAGACTGCTCTAATAGAAAATTGCCCGAAATCATAAGATTTCCTAAAAACATTTTAGCGAACCAGAAAGTTTTCCGAAAATACATAATAATAATTGTCAGTGCAATATTATCATTGCCAGGCCATTGTCAGGAATTTCTGGAAAATTGTTTTTATTGTGCCTATCATCATTCGGCATAAACATGTAGAATGGAAGTCGAATTTCTAATCAGTGAACAGGGAAAACAGAAACTGTTACTCCACAGTTATTTGTATCAAAAAGGAATGGGAATGAAAAAACATGTGTTGTTTCTGTTTAGTTTTGGTTTTTATTAAATGGACCGTGTTTTTAAATGCCTTGTATTAAAACAATCTTTTCCCAAAAATTGACATTTTGAGAAATTTTTAGATGTCTGAGTTTTTTTTTCGGGCAAGGGCAACTATCTTTTTGGTTGATTTTCTTTTCGATCAATTGTTTTCTGGTAATTCAATTCGGTGAATTGTTTTCGGGCAAATTTACTAGATCTGTTGTATTGCTCATGCAATAAAAAAAAACAGGCGAATTATTTATGCCCAAAAAGTTACAGTAACCGTAAAACGATAACTAATTTTTTCAACATCACAATGTAAACTAAACTCAGAGCCAAAACCTATAATTTTACGAAAATATCAAGATCTACAACCCCTTTGCACTGGTGATAACCTAGTTAGACACGCTTGTCCAAAATTGTTCAAATTTGGCCGATATATTCAGCATACGAACACGTTTAATAAACCTGTTTACGACTTGGCTGTAAAATCAACAGGAGTGCCAATATTTGGACAGTTGAAAATTTGAATGGAATTTCCTATTAATCTAAGATCCGGCTGCAGTATTAGTACTTTCATCATGTAGTTAATCAAAATATAATTTTTACGTGTATTTATGAAGGGCGGAATACACTTTTAACAGCAAACAGGGAGACAATAAAAAGTGCCAATCAATCACCATCCATATATGGTGAGGCTACATGATGTTAATAATTTTGTTTTATTATTCTGCGACGCGTTATCTTTTTTTTTAAAGGGTACCTATTATGATTCGAACCACTGAACCAGGATACCTATTGCCTACCTTGCCTATTATCGTTAAATATTGCGGAAATATTTGACTCCTTAATATCGGTCTATTTTCACTTTGGCTTAGAAAAGGAGTTTCAACTACAGAAAGAATAACGATATCAATAGGCTACATTTTAAAGAAAACACTAAAATTCAACTCCTCTTCGGTACTTTCACATAAATAAAATAAATCTTACCGGCGAAGAAAAACCTAATCTTCAAATTTCAACAATATTTGTTGCGTTGAATTTTAAAAACTGCTAAAATTCCACCTTACCTGTGTGTAATCGAGTTAAAAATACTATATCTAATAGCCATCAAATAATTTAAATTTAGAAACATAAACAATATAAATAATTCTCGCCCTAAATGTCCAAATAAAAACAAAAACATGTATTGATTAATTCACCCACGCTGTTCTCACCACCGGCCAACCACCGGCACTTTAAATTCATAACTCATGCATACGAGATCGAGACGTTGTCGCACTTTTCAATAGTCAATAGTCAGATGATTTAACTACCAATGAAAACACACCCAAGCGCCAAATATCTCGCCTCAACCCTGCGATACAGAATGCGTACCCCGTCGCGTCACTAATCGTCGCTGCTAATAGGTAGGCAATTCGAACTTTCCAAGCTAGAATTATTTCGCCTCTGTCGAGTCGCGCTCTTTTTTGGCTAGGTTTACGTTGGCTAGGCTTATGTTGCGCCTGGACCTGGATGTATTTATATAATATATATTTTTTAGTTTTATTATTTTGAATGTGTTGTAGAATTGCTAAAAGTTATCCTGGGATTAAATAAATAGCTGATCCAAAAAATAAATCGTTCCTCCATTTTAAAGGTGAGGCGCGGCCTAAGAGGTCTAGCCTGACGAGCCGCCACTGATCTTTTATACATGTTTCTGGTCACTGTTACAATATTTTCTTGTTAGATTGACTATAGTTTCTCTCTTGCTAGATAGACTACTGTTTAGTTTTAGTATATATTTGATAAAAATGTGATTTATTTAAAGTTTAAATTCGTATTTCGCAGTTCAAATTCATATAAACTCGGCTTTGTATCTTGAAGAATAAATGCAAGATGTATTGTTTCGCTAAAATTTATTTTATTTCAGTGAAACTCGCCATATCTGCTGGTCCTTTAGTGTTTTCGTTGCTTGGAAGAACAGATAATTCTCACTATGCGATAAGCGGTTCCACACTATTAGATCTGAAAGCTGCGGAAACTCAAAGTTTTGCAGGTGACATAATTATCACAAAATCAGCTTGGCAACATGTTAGTGCTAATGAATACTTGGCAGAAGAATTGAAAGACGGGTTGCATGCTAAGGTTACTATTAGATATTTTGTTCTATAATGAATTAACCTTTTATTTATTTACAACCACTTACCTCATAATATGTAATCTCTCCAAAAAAGTCCTATATGGGTATTTCGCCACTGCAAGAAAATATACAAAATAAAATAGTTATTTATTGTAAACACTGCTGCGTTAATCCAACGGAGACTAATTGTCAGCGGTGGTCCCAAACAAAGTCTTAACGTCGCGTCGTCGGAAGCAAAAAAATGCAAAAAACAAAGAAAAAAAACGATTTAAAATATTTAAATGCAACTATTCGAGAACACTTTAGTTTTCTTAAAACAAATACGTCTACAAAAACCGTTAACTAAAAACTATTTTATTTTGGAGTAGCGAAATACCCATATAGGACTTTTTTGAGAGATGAATTTGCCAGATAGGTATAGACATTTTTTATAATATGTAATGTTGATATACCGATTATTTTTTCATTTTCTTTGTCGTCCAAATCCGACTTCAAAAGTAAAGACAAACAAATCCACAAAATTTCAAATCAAGTTGAAATGTTTCAATTAAAATGTCAAACCGAATTTTTAAGGATGGAGACCTATAACGTCGATTCCATCCAGCATCCATGAATACATGGATAGTCCGTATTATCGAAAAAATCGGCGTTAACGACGGCTGGGAATGACAATCGATGATAATTTTGGTCAGGTTAATATTTAGATGTCATTAACTAAAAATTGACATAAAACTTCTCAAAATGAATACTAATCATACGTTTCCAGTCACTCAAATCTATTTCCAAAAAATATGTATAAAGTGTGATTCCTGCCAGAAGGTCGTCTCGGAAAAGGACAAATTGGTGTAATGGGGAATGTCGCCGGAACTTTTGTATGTTCTGTACTGGGTTAGATAAGACAACAACAAAAATACTCTGCCAACAAAAGAACAGGGTGGTCGAAATTAGTCTGTTTTAACAGAGATAACCTATTTCCTGACTAGAGAGAGCAAAACCGACATACATAGATGTCATGGGCTCGATTTCTGAGATACGTTTAATGGCGTAAACCGCCTGTTGATATTTTCACTGCCAACAGAGATACGGGGTCTTTTTGAATTTTTTGCCATTTTGAAAATTGCCCATAACTTTTTTATTTCGCGGAATAATAAAATTCTGTAAAAGCGTTCTTAAGGCAGTTTTTTAAGCATAATCCAGTGGCGTAGTCAGTTTTTTTATATGCTTGCCCTAAGAAATAATAAAAAATATATTTTTTTAAATAGAAATCGTAGTTGACTATAAACTTAAAAAATGCTGGTATTTAACCCTTTCCAACGATATAAAGTTATGGGTATCTATTTCTAAGAATGAGAGAAATATTAGGCTTTTTATATTTATATCGAACCGGGCTTTGATTTTGAGTTGACCTATTTGCCTAATTATTTTTTATCACAATTTAATATTCTATATTATTATTTATCTGCATAATTAAAGACTTTTGAAAAGGTAAATTACATTATATTATTATTTGTAATAGTAATTATTAGTATTAGTAATTACCAATGGAATCGATACAATAAATAAAGAACAAAACTAAAAAAACGTATTTTTTGAGTGACGAATATAGTTTTCTAAAAAAATCAAAGATGTTCAAATTGAGCACCTCCTTGCTGTGTATTCACAATAAACATCTTTTGCGCACAGAGTTACAACAATTTATTAGGCGAACTGGTTTAATAAGTCCAAAAGCTTGCCTAGAAACCTTCAGCAATTCTTCTCTCGTCCCAATTGTTCTTCCCTTATATATAAAGTCTTTTAATTTCCTCCATAAAAAGTCGAAAGGAGTTAAATCACAGGACCTAGCAGGCCAAGATATGAGCCTATTGTTCCAACCCAATTCTCTCTAAATTCTCAATTTAATAGTTCAGTTGTAACCCGGGCGCGGCGTTTTAATTGTAATTGGTAATACTAATATAGAATGTTGATTTACCTTTTCAAAAGTTTTTAATTATGTAGATAAATAATAATATAGAATATTAAATTGTGAAAAAAAATAATTAGGCAACTAGGTCAACACAAAATCAAGGCCCGCTTCGATACAAAGATAAAAAACCTAATATTTCTCTCATTCTTAGAAATAAATACACATAACTTTATATCGTTGGAAAGGGTTAGGCGCCAGCATTTTTTTAAGTTCATAGCCAACTATGATTTTCTTTTAAAAAATTATATTTTTTATTATTTCTGACAAATAGAGGATGTATAGAAAAAAAACTGACTACGCCACTGGATTGTGTTTAAAAAAGAGCAATAAGAACGCTTTTACAGAATTTTATTATTCTGCGAAATACAAAAGTTGTGAGTGAAAATGTCAACAAACCGCCTTTGACACGCTATAAAACGTATCTCAGAAATCGAGCCCATGACATCTATGTCGGTTTTGCTCTATCTAGTCAGGAAATAGGTTTTCTCTGTTATAACAGGCCAATTTCGACCACCCTGTACAACAATATCAGATTTTTCTGCAGTATCTGTGACTCACCCACGTTAAAATATCTTCATGACAAAGTAACTCAAGTTCAGAAATCGTAAGCCTCTCTAGACACTGTCGAAGCTCTGGGAACCTGTCTAAGTCGAAGAGCTTGTGCAAGAAAGTGGATGACATTCACAGCCTCCATACCAGTTTGTCTGGTGGTAGACAAGAATCTTTATTCCATTCCATCAGGGAAATGAAGCAAGATATTTTCAACTTGTCGTCTATTTTACTGGACAATCATGATGAGTCTATTAAGGTCCAAATTCATGACTCATCAAAGGAAGAGTTATCAAAGGAGTTGGGTGATTTGCGTTTGAGTGTAAATAGAATGGCACTCATGTTGGAACAGTTAGCCTCCAATGAAAAGACAAACATTAGAAGTAACCCACAAGTAGAAAAAAAAGTCTAGTTCGACACAGAATGACCATTCGGATAACCAGGACACAGTGAGTATTATACTTCTCCAAAAACCATTACACCCACACCTCATTCTCCAAGGAAGAAGACTGCACGGAAAAAAAGCTAAACTGGCTTAAAGATTATTAATCTTGAACCAACGATATGCTAGTTTCCCTATTCCGCAAATCTAGTTATACTTCTTTTTAAGAAAACCTTATCCTTAGAAGCTAAGAAAATTTATCTTTTATTTAAGATTTACCTGGTATTGAAATTAAGATTATAACTACACTCCAGACAATTTGAGATAAAATCTTGTTTCGAGTACTACTTATACTTATTTGTAAATTAGCAAATTATTGCATTAAGTATAGAAATTCTTTGTGTACATGTAATAATTACTTTATTCAAGTGAATATCACCTACTATAAAATAAAGCCTCTTCTTACTTTTAGGTTAGTTACTAGACGCGCCGACTAGGTAGTTTATAAAATTATAAAGTTTTTTTTTATCGTTTGTGCTTGTGATATGTGAAAATGGAGGACCTTCTTCAGGCATGGGAGATGACGATTTGATCCCAAAATTTCAAGGTAAGTTTAGCGATAATCCTACATATTTGATGACATTGGTTGGAGGTTAGGGGGACTCCATTTTAAAATGCATTATTTCTTATACACTGGTGGTAAACTAGGTATGTACGCGTTTGGAATGATTCAATTATGTTTTAACAATTTTTATTACTGTCTCTCATTTTTAATTAGCGATGCCGCTGTCCAATATCTACCTATATTGGGAAATTACACAGTTTTATTGTATTTTCTTATTACGAAAAGCATATAATTTGGTAGGTGATGTTTAGCTAATCTAATTTAAAAAGTATTAACCATATACGGGGTTATTCTGGTAATATTTCAAAATTCCATACCTATTGTAAATGGAAATTAAGAAAAGATTTTACCAAAACAAGAGTTTCTAACAAGATCGAACCCGAACCTCCGAAACCATAGGGAACACGTTACCAAATTTTGTGAGAACTATATAGTTTTTCGATCCCGGTTAATATTCTTGCTCAAAAAAACTAGTTTATCCTAAAATCGGGTTTGCCCGGTAACATACATGAATATAATAGAGTTGGGACATGCTAAAAATTTTAATTTCCATTTCCAATAGGCATGGAATATTGTAACATCACCAGAATAACCCCGAATATGGTTAATACTTTTTAAATTAGATTAGCCAAACATCACCTACCAAATTATATGCTTATCGTAATAAGAAAATACAATAAAACTGTGTAATTTCCCAATATAGGTAGATATTGAACAGCGGCATTGTTAAAACATAATTGAATCATTCCAAACGCGTACATACCTAGTTTACCACCAATGTATAAAAAATAATGCATATTAAAATGGTGTCCCCTAACCTCAAACCAATGTCATCAAATAATGTAGGATTATTGCTAAAATTACCTTGAAATTTTGGGATCAAATCCGTCATCTCCCATGCCTGAAGAAGGTCCTCCATTTTAACATATCACAAGCACAAACGATAACAAAAAACGCGTCTTTATTAGAATAAACGGCGCGTCTCATGGCGCAGAGGAGAAACAGAAACCAAATGAAGTTAGGAATCAGGAATGCACTGCTGCGTTGTTGCTGTTGGGGATGGTCACTTAATATAAGAATAGTAACTCTTGGAAATTAGGGTGTTATTCTCGCGCCGAGAATAATATACTTATTTAAAATCTTAATACACCGATTTCAAGTAAAAGTTTTAAAAAAATTAAGAATACTACTTATTATTATATAAAAGAATTTATACTTCATTTAACAATAGTTTCTTCGTTGCTAAAGGATTTATTCACTTGATAGTAATATAAGTTTTTCTTAAATATAAGTCATTTTATTCTTTTTTTAGATTCAAAATTACTTAAAGTGACTATAACTATATTTAAAAAGCAAGTGTAAAAGTAAAATAGTTCCAAATATTTGTTGTACTCATGGAAAGAATACTATCCTTAAAGAAAGTGTAAAATTTTAAGTGTATGATTGTTCTTGAATATAGAAATGATTTTTTTCCGTTTGGCATTACGTGATAGTGTCCAAAATCCCACCCCCACTCCACAGCAAACCAGCTTGCACACTATGCCAAGAAAAAGCTTGGAACTACTGGCTTTATCCGATGCTTTCCCTTGCTGAAAAATAAGGACAGTTCACACTTTGACTTCAAAATTGGTGTGCAGGACAAGAGCCACCTTGAGCAGCTGAAGGACATAAGTATGTGGCCGCCAGGTACTGAAATAGTCACTGCCGATTCTTTTACAAAACCTTTAAAATTATCGCTTCCTTCCTATGATTCACTTTCATATCTCCCTAAAGCAAATGAGAATTTACACAGTTTCTTCTTAACGCCCATAGCATTAGATGAGCTCCGTAGTACAATTAAAAGTATTAAAAACAAATCCTCATCTGGGACTGATGGGCTTACTCTCAAAATGTTCTCTGAACTTCCAGAACGCGCATTAATCCATCTTATTACTTTAATTAACGAGTTATTCCAAAAAGGAGTTTTTCCAAACTGCCTTATAAGACAGCAATAATTATTCCTCTGTAAGTAAATAAGTACTGAAAATAAAGGAGGCGATAAAGATCGAACTCTCGCCCAATTGCACTCCTGCCCACATTATCTAAGATCATCGAAAGATTGGTTAAAAAAAAGCTTCTATCTTTTCTCCTTAAATATAAAGTACTTACTACCCATCAATTTGGATTTCTAAGTAACAGTTGCACAAATGATGCAAGAATATGTTCACATATACATATGTTGCACACTAACCTCTACAGCCACAATTTTCTATGATTTCTCTAAGGCTTTGGACTGTGTAAATCATAATATCTTAATTAACAAATTACAATACTATGGATTCAGGATATGGAGTGCCGCTCGAAGGGCTTAAGTCATATCTTGGCAACAGAAGGCAGCTTGTAAGGATCGATACGTCTATGTCTTCTTGTGAGCCTATAGTATGTGGTGTCCCTCAGGGTTCAGTACTTGACCCTATTTTGTTTCTGGTGTTTATTGACGACATTGCAAATCTAGATATTAGCGGTAAAATCTGCCTCTTTGCGGACGATACTAGTTTCACTTGGAGCGGCCCATTAAAGCTTGGTGCGATTCTATAATCTCCTATGGCTCAACCTATCAAAAACTAAAGTTTTGTCATATAAAAGTACTATACAACATTTTGCATTTAATAGCACCACTATTGACGTCGCGACGTCAATAGTGGTGCTATTAATTTCACAGAGTCCACGACGCGTCATGGACTCTGTGAAATTCTTAGGACTTGTTGTAGACAACTCATTAAAATGTGTGACGTGTAGGGCTTGATCTTGCCAAAATTAGCATCGATTGTCATTCGCCAGCCGTCTTTAACGCCGTTTTTTTTCGATCGTATGATATTATACTGCCACTTTAATTTTTTTATTCAAAATTGAAAACCTGATAAAACAAGCATTATAAAAATATACATTATGCATTTTTAGATTTATGGTGTGGGTCCTAATTGGAGAAATATTCAAAGAACGGCTACTTATGGGAAAGGTAATATATATGAGAATATCCATTTGAATATTTATCATATGTATTTTTTCTTTTTAACTTATTTCAGTTAAAACGCTCCAAGGGGACATTTGTTTCTGTCTTTCGCCTGTATTCCCCACCCATCCACTCTTATCCTGCTCAAGTCCTCTTCAACATCCTTTTTTCATCTGATTCTCGGTCTACCCCTCCTTCTCTTGCCACCTATTACACGTTTCATTATCATACTAGGAACTCTTGCTTCAGCCATTCTTACAATGTGTCCCAGCCAGACCCGCGTTAAGTTGATTTGGTACCCTATAGGCACCATCTATTTTGCCGCCCCCTTCAACTAATAAAAATTCAAGTAAAATTTGTTGTTTAAAAAAATGCCGCCCCCTATCAACCTGCCGCCCTAGGCAGCTGCCTATCTTGCCTAATGGATAAAGCGGTACTGGTCCCAGCCATCTCAGTCATTGTGCTCTTGCTACTCCCGCTATACTCGGTATTCGGTGCCCGATATAGTTGCTTAAATCTTAAATCGGAAATAAGTATCAAAGTTAATAAGAAGAAAAGAGCTTTGGGTGCAAATATTTTTCAAAACATAACAAATGCAAAAAGTCATGGCAGTGCCCACTAGTCCTTTAAAATATTTATCTGTATATTATTATCTCTATGCATATTATCTTTTTTCTTTTTTTGCTTTAATGCTTCATTTGTTGCATTTCGCAAAGCTCTGAAATCATACTTACTGGAGAGAGCCCTATATGCGGTAAACGACTTTTTTGTTAACGTTTGATCAATTTTGAATTTTAAAATTTTCATTAAATCATCTCACACACTGGTCAAAGGTCAAGTATTTAATATTTTATAACTTTTATAAAATTATATCTATGTATTTACAATCTTCCTATTGTAAAATTTTATTGATATGTCTTTTTTTGTGTTCTGCAATAATTGTCCATGTATGTTCTATTTGTAATTTTAATGACTTTTTTTGAGTTGTATGATTTGTATTGTATATTTTTACTACGGCAACAATTTTCTGTAATTTTTCTAAGGCCTTCGATTGTGTAAATCATAAGATCCTAATTAATAAACCGCAGCACTATGGGTTCAGGGGATCATCTCTCGAATGGTTTAAGTCGTATCTGAGCAACAGAAGTCAACTTGTGAGGGTGGATACCACGTTGTTTTCTAGCAAGCCAATAGAATGTGGAGTATCACAAGGCTCAGTACTAGGCCCTATTTTGTTTCTTCTTTTTATTAACGACATTGCTAACATAAACATCAGTGGCAATATGTCTTTTTGCGGACAACACTAGCTTCACTTGGAGCAACAAGGACATCACGGCACTTCATAGTATTATATCAAATGACTTAATCACCATTAAATCTTGGTGCGATTCGAACCTCCTGAGTCTCAACATTTCTAAAACTAAAGGTTTGTCGTATAAAAACTCGTTGCAGCCTTTTGTACTTAACAACACCACCATTGACATCGTAAAATCTGTAAAATTCTTAGGGCTTGTTGTGGGCAATTCTCTGAAATGGGACATACATATCGAAGCTTTGTCGAAAAAATTGAGCTCTGCCTGTTTTGCATTAAGGTCTGTTTCTAAGGAGCTTAACTTGTCAGTGGCTAAAACTGTTTATTATGCACTTTTTGAGTCGCACCTCAGATATGCCCTTCCATTCTGGGGTACATGTTGTGCGACTCAATTTGACCGCATTTTCAAGCTCCAGAAGAGAGCTGTTCGATATTCACTGGGACTAAACAGCAGAAATCGTTGCCGGGACTTTTTTAAAGAATTAAAAATATTGACTCTTCCTTCCTTATTTATATTTGAATCCGTTTGCCTAATACGTAAACATGTATCACCTTCTCACGAAAGGCCATCTCACACTTATCCACTCAGGAACGCGGAGCAAGATCTCTATCTACCTACCCCACGCTCAGAGTTAGTTAAATGTTCAATATTATACAACTCGAAACACAATCACCTGCCATTTGAAATCAAATCCATAACATAATTTTTTTCATTTCGCAAAGCATTGAACTCTTATTTACTAGACAAGGCTTTCTACGCCGTAAATGAATATTTTGAAAATCGAATTTGATCTTGTAAACACTGGTCTAATGTTTGCTATTGCTATATTTACTAATGACATCGAAATAAATGTATTTAGAGGTCATTGATATTTTACTATAAACTAACTCAATATTTTTGAATATTATTTTTATTTTTTTGTTCTTTGACATTGTAAACATTTATAAATGTTTATTTTAACATTAAGACTGACAATATTATTTGTATAATGTTTTGTATTATCTTTTGATTGTTTGTTTGTGTACCTTGTTTTTTTTACTTTGTTTGTTAGTTTACCTTTGTCTACAAATTAATATCTAAAAATTAATATACTATACTTAATCTACAAATTAATATACTCCGCTTATTATTTCCGCCTAACAATTAGTTGATTACATACTTAATTGTTTTAATTAATTAAATATTATTCTAAATAAATGTGGATTTGACTAAGAAATCAATACTGTTACGTTTTTCGTCGGTTCCGTGTGGACAGAAAGTCACAATTTATTTAAACACTATTTATTTAACACTAATTAACAAAAACAATAACGATAAAAGAATTAATGAACTATTTACAAACGATTTATAACTAAGAATTTCTTTTTGAATTTTAGCGCGTTAACTGTACTCGTCTATTTATATAACTGCCCTCTCTAGGCCACAGCCGCCGGCTTTTACACCTACAGTTAAAGTTTACTAGAATAGTCCATAGATCGTTAGGTGTATAGAGAAGGTTTCGAATGTTCTCGTATGTACTACTCCATTCCAGTGGAACTCGATTCTTCTCGAGTCTTCGAATGAATCATTACGGTGTCTATTCTTTAATGCGATGTTAAGGTCATCCGAGGGCGGGCCATATAGTTAGGTTAGGTCGAGTCCACACCGGTCCGCAACACTGCCCCCTTCTTTGGTACATGCTCGTCCCGAGATGTACACGGTGAATGAAGGTATTTGCAAAGCTGGCCCCTGGTACATTGCGAAGTCTGGTAGAAATAGCAGTCTACAGTTTTCTCTCCCGATCTCAGCTTTGGGTTGTAGCAGCAAACAAGGATCTCGATTCCCGTAAATCTGAACAAGACTCCAATCATGTTCCGGATTGTACGCCAACTCAAACCATCGAGTACACACGCCAGCTTCGGAATGGCTAATCGTGCAATGTTGTTGTTTAGCAGGGCTTCTCTCAGTTCAATCAGGGTCTTCCATAGATTGAGATAAGTCGGCTTACTCGGGGACCATTCCTTGGTGACCAGGTAGAAGATGTGCCTTGCTTGACCATGTGCATTGTCGGTTAGCCTCAAGACGCTTCCAACCTCTGGATCCTGTCGGCGTAGTTCTCCGACACGCCCAAACTTCTCATTGAACGTCGCAGCGATTCCTCTGGACATCCGCAAATCTCGAGCCACACAATGAGCGAGCGAATAATCAGGAGGCACGGAAAAGAGGTCTCGTTGATCTTCTTTGGTTACACCATAGCGAGCCTTCTCACTGCTGTTGTATCGGGCCATGAAATCGTCAAAGGACATCTCCGAATCAGGGGGATCAAAGCTGCAGGTTCTCACGGTCCCAGCACGATCTTCTATTTCGCCTTGGTAGGGGCTCAAACGGTTGAAATGGACTACCCTCGGTTTTCCTTTTGGCAATTTTCTGATACGGTATACGACGTCATTAATTCTATCCATGACTTCGTATGGCCCTTCCCACGAGGATTGTAGCTTCGGAGATAACCCACGACGTCTCTGCGGGTTATATAGCCACACCAACTTCCCTGGTTGGTATCCTCCATGCTCAGCTTGAATGTCGTAGTGTTCCTTCATTCGGTCACTAGCACTTTGAATATTTAGGCGGACTCTCTGATGAATGTCGTCCATCCTTTGACGTAGTGTGTGGACATAATCTTCTCCGGCGACTTCTTCTCCCGGTCGGCAACCAAATTTCAGATCACAGGGTAGGCGCACTTCCCGTCCCATAACGATGCTGGCTGGAGTTTGCCCTGTAGATTCTTGGACGGATGAACGGTAGGCCAACAGGAACAGGTGAAGAAATTTGTCCCAGTCTCTTTGGTGGTCAGAGACTACTTTGGCCAGATAACGGTTGATAGTTCTGTTCATGCGTTCAACCATCCCATCGGATTGTGGATGTAGAGCAGTCGTCCTGGTCTTGCGGATGTTCAGGACTTCACAGACGCCTTGGAACAGATTGGACTCAAAGTTTCTTCCCTGATCTGAATGAAGCTCCATGGGAACACCAAACCTGCAGATCCATTCTTTAACAAGGGCATCAGCAATCGTGGACGCTTCTTGATTTGGCAACGCGTAGGCCTCGACCCATTTGCTGAAGTAATCCATTACTACCACAATGTATTTGTTGCCATCGTTCGTCTCCGGGAAAGGACCAGCCACGTCGATCGCTATTCGTTCGAAGGGACTACCAACATTGTACTGGCGCATAGGGGCTTTACCACGCTTTTGTGGCCCATTAATGGCTGCGCAAATGTCACATTTCTTACACCAGGCCCTCACATCTTCTTTGCAGTTCACCCAGTAGAACCGTTCACGCAGCTTGCCAAGTGTCTTGGTAACACCAGATGTCCACCGCTGGTTCCATTGTGAACTTCCTCCAAGACTTCTGGGACCCTCTTCTTTGGAATGACGATCTGCCTTCTCTCTTCTTGTCCCTCCGGTCTCTCGATCACACGGCGGAGTAACCCGTCATCTATTACCAAGGAATTCCACTGGGCCCAGTACGACTTCACGTTCGGCGAATATCTGCAAACTTCCTCCCACGTTGGTCTTTGGTCCGCGTTTTTCCAGTTAATCGCTAAGCCTAATTCTAGGTCACTGATTTGGTCGTTTGCAAGATCTTTGGGTTGCCAAGTATCTTTAACCGCAGTTGTTCTTAGGAGTTTCGCTTCTTTCTCTTCTGCTCGGGAAC